GTTGTTGTTGTTGGTTGCTGCTGCTGTTGCTGCTGCTGCTAGTGTTGCTGCTGATGTTATCGTTGTTGTTGTTGCTGTTGCCGGTGCTGTAGCAGTAGCAGCAACAGAACGAGCAAAATCTCTGGCCGCAGCAACAGCGATCACTCCAATGCTAATGAAGTCCAAGCTGCACTTGACGGCACTCGCTTGGACAGGCGTCGGCGTGCGTGACCTGTGCTCGGTTCGGCCGGTTTTGTTGGTGACTTGTCGCGTCGGAGCTGAAGGCTACGTCCGGAGGGAAAAGCCGAATGAGACATAAGCAAGTCATACGAGTCAGACTAGTCATTTGGATCCATCTGACTGATGTCAACACCGTCTATGCGCGTGAAGACTTCTCGGGCTCCAGCTGCGGCAGTGGAAGAGCACGAATGTCCCCAACCACCACACACTAGTCACTAGTCTGGCTACCCCTTGCCGTAACACCTGGGAACTGTTGACATACTCCGACTCTACACGTCAGACTACAAGACAGACAAGATGCACTCTTTGCTGACGGTATCCTCACCTGATGCTTCCAGCACTACAGCAGCCGTCGTCTGCAGGCCCTGCAGGCTAGTGGCACGGCGCACAGTCGCGGGCTGACGAGTGAAGCGGCAGATGGCGGCATCACCTCGCGAGTCTCAATCACGGAGCTTTGGACTCGTACGCTCATTCCACAAGACTGGAGACAGCTGCCATAGTAAGGGCAGTGAGGTGAAAATGATCAAAACTAAGCCAGAGGTCATGCTCCCAGATGCGGTGCAAACAGCAGCTGCATCAGCAAGCATCAGTCTTTAGTTGCATCTCCTGCTGGAATCCGGTGGAAACTGAGCTCCTGCAGCTTCCCCCGGGCCGCGTGCTGTGAAGCCCATGGCTGGAACAGCGGAGATGGGCCTGGCACGGCTTCTTGCCACTGCTTTGCACTTCAACATTGCTTGCTGTCTGCTCCGTCTGCGAATCAGCAACCCGCAAGCTCACGTGCCGGCCTGAGCACTGGCACCTGCCACAGAATGTGGGAACATTCTCCATGCGAGGTTGCCCTGAACTTAGAAGGTATTTCCATATTTGCTTGAATACCGTTTGCTGCATCGCATGTCTCTGTGCGGAGCTTCCCGTCTCTGCAGGGCACCTAGCAGCTAGCACATTCTCGTACTCGTCTGATTCTTCCGGAAGTCTGCAGGCTCCACATCCGTGACCGAGGAATACGGCGACGGCGCAAAAACCATACCCGGCTATTCGTCGAGTCCTCCGAAGCCCAGTACTGACAGCGCCTGGGTTGGCGTAGATTTGCCTGGCGGCACCTGGGATGCAAGTGCCAAAGGCCAATTCCAGCACGCAGCGGCCACGCGATGCGGTACCAGTGAGTCGAAACAACCATCCATTCCTCCGTGGCACCTACCTCCAGGAAAGGTTTTGGGTCAAGCTCGATATGGCTCGATATCCAAGCCTTTCTACATACATACAGCCTTGTCCAAAATGGTGCATCCATCCATCCGTCCATCCATCCTTCCATCCTTCCATCCATCCACACGTACATGCTTACTTGTTGATGTACATACATAGACACATACATACATACATACATACATACATACATACATACATACATAACATCCTTGTTCTAATGCAAACTCCCACCAGCAATCTGTTACCTGGCACGCGAGTGCAAAGTTTCGCCGCAAACGACGAAAATAAGGCTGAAAAGACACCCCCTCAATCAAACCTGAACATTCTAACAGCAATACTTCTTTCCAGTCAGCCGAGGATTCGGCAGAAGCAGAACGGGACACCAACGGCGCATAGGCATGAAGGCTGCCTGTCTGAGACAAACTCCACAAGCACTGTAGTTCTAGTTTATGGTGATGGCAAGCGCCTATCCAAGTTTTCAAAGCTGGTTCTGGAATCAGCTTAGAGGTTCGCCCCAGTTGGGCAGGTCTCTGACGTCGCGTACCGAAACGATCACGCCAAGCTATCACAGAGGCACTACATTCAGAAACGATCTCAATAACGACAGCGTAATAGCAGCTGCAGGGCCAGCTGCAACAACAACAACAACAACAACGGCAACAAAAATCAACAAACATACCATCGCAATAACAATGACATCAGTATGAATCGACATGCGGACAATGGCGAAAATCATTGCAACAACGGCTGGTCTGACAACAATCATGGGATTCATTGCGTCAACAAATAAAAGTCATAAACGTCGATATGCCGAGCACAGTCTTTCCTAGCATGAATCATCTTCTCATTCAGCATTATTTTGTACCCGCACGCACGTTTGTGCTCATATACACACTAGGAGTTGCACAAACACCGATCTGCACAGGTAAAAGCATGCATACAAGCACACGAACAAGCACGCGCACGAACAAACAGAAAACAAACTATGCCGTTAACGAACATATAAATAAACGGTACAAGATGTCGACCGCTTCTGCTCTAGCACGACTGTCACAGAAGGCCGCGGTGCGGGAGTGTTTCGGGCCTAGGGTTTAGGGCACTTTCCGGCGCCTCCGAACACACACGTCCCCGGTGCCTTCAGTGACACTTCTGGCGGAGTTTGCCAAGCTGCTCCTCACGCCTACAGCAAGTGCTAAGGGCAGTGTGTATACCCTCAACAGAACTTGCGCCCAAACTAGCCCCAAGCGGCTGGAGGGTGTTTGCGTACCCGCTGAGACCAGAGAGAGCTGGCCATGAGAGGTCGTCGTTCCAGCACTGGCCTGTCAAACACAGTCTCCCCCCCTGGGCCCTCCCCAGAGAAGCAGCTTACTCTGCTTACTCTGACCACGAAGAATGCAGGAGCCCACACGGATCACGTGGACTCTTGTTTGTCTGGGGCCGATTCTGACACTTACGGCTTGCGAACATGATCGTGATTACGATTGAGGCTTCCGACGTAGCTGGCTCAAACCCAAAGCCCAAGCATTCTCTGAGCCGTGATGCTTTTGAGCAGGAGACATGAACTGGTGTGAGTGTGTGTGTGTGTGCAAAAATGTTCACAGAGAGCCAGAGAGCCATCCAGGATGCTGTAGAGACGTGCGTACGGTATTACTGCATTGGACCTCTTTCCATGAAACTGACTGTGGGGAATCGACATGGAGTGGTTTGCAGTTCAGAGGGCAGGCATTTGCCGAAGAAGGAGAAACTGTATTCATCGTAACCAGCATAGGCGGTAGTTTTGTGATAAATTGAGACCAGTAGTGGCTGCTGGACACCTTGGCCCAGGACTTATTGCACAATCCTTTCTGAAATCACCAGCTCAATTACAGTTGGGTGGTCGATGGATAGTTTCGGGGAGCTGTTCGACTCCCACAGCTCATGACACGTGCTCAACTGCTTCCTTGCGGCCAAGTCACCGCTATGCTGCCGTTGGGTGCGATTTCCGTTCTCGGCGGATGGCCACAGTGGGTTCAGCAAGTTGCAATAATGGTTGTTGGGATAAGCTGGGTGCTCCACACGGTTCTATACTGCCCGAAGCTGGACTCTGAAAACCTGCGTTCCTCAACGTGCAACTGCACAAGGGAACTATGCCGAATGCAAGTTGCTTCCACTGTCCACTTGTTGATCTCCGCACACCGGCAACCCCCGAAGCTTTTCGACATACTGGCAAGAGTCATTGTCCGCATGACTCAGCGTCTACTGCCGCTGCCTTCTACTCAACTCAAGCCATACAACAGCATTGCTGAATTCCATTCCAACCCCACAGCCCCGGGCTAAGCGGGACTTGGACTGGGGGAGGGAGACACTTCAAGCCTCGCAAGAAGGCGAATCAAATGTTTTTAGGCGCTGGCAAGATCGACTCCACGCTTTGCGAGCGCGCCTCCCGAGCATCCAGACTTCGGATTCTAAGGGGCTGCGGATGGCTGCAAGCCGACAATGCATAGTATACATGTGATGTGGGGCGACAGGAAATTCAAGAACCAGATTCGGGAACAGAGACACGCAATTCGGGAACCGAAACTCGGGAACCGCCAGAATTCAGGAACCCGATTCGCGAAAATTCGAGGGCCCGCGAACAGACAAGGAACCGAATCGTCACAACTCAAGCACACAAGACGCAGTCTTGCTGTGCGTGGATCTTACTTGCGCATGCAGCCACGGTTTTTGCTGAGTCAGATATGCCGGACGGCGCGGCGCATCGATTTAGGTGTATCAGGTGTATCCTGCCAAAACCCCAAACCCGGAGGCTTCAAAAACCCTAAGCCCTAAGCCGGAAGACCATAAACCCTAAAGAACTCCAAGCCAAAGCGAGCTTCAAAACTCCTCAATCCTACGTTCATGTGACGTGCACATACCAGCATACAAAAAAAAGTGCGGCTGCGTACACAGGTAAACAGCTTTATAGATGGACATATAAACATGCACAGATGCCTTTATTTGGCCCATGTGCATGTGCACTATTATATAGTCACACTTGCACACCCCATGCATCAATGGATGCAATCATACAGGCTAAGTTTCATAGGCATGTGCATCTAGACACGCTTGCATACATGTTTCATTCTGGATGCATGTGTACGTATGTACGTACGTACATATATATCTATATATATATATATGTACCCATATATATATATATACATATACACATATGGGGAGTTGTCAAAATTATGGTCCCATGTTGGGGTACCCTAAATAATAGGTGCCGTATTATAATAGGACCCAAAAAGGGACCATAATTTTGACAACCACCCATATAGATAAGGTAGGTAGGTCGGTCGGTTGGTCGGTGAGAGTGAGGGAGGGAAGGAAGGGAGGGAGGGAGGGAGGGAGGGAGGCGGGGAAGGTAGGGACGGGAATTTGGGGAAGAGGGGGTTGGAAGCGAGAGTATCTTCACGTCTTGTGGTGTGGACGTGCTTTTATGACAAGGTCTATGTATGCCATGCATGCATGACTCAGTTTGCATACATCGATGTGCCTATGGACTAGCCATCTAGATATGCGTGCACGCAGCGATGCCCCTGCACATGTGTTTCAATGCATGCACATAGTTGCGTAAATGCTGATTAAAGCATTCCCCCAAGAGTGTTGCAAAGCTGCGTGGTTTTCATGTTGTGTAGAAGGATTGGATCGTTCTCCCCGCGAGGTGCGAAGCGGCAGGCACGTACGCCCCCCCCACCCCCCCCCCCCGCTGCGGCACGTTGCAAATTCTCGACTAGAACCGCACTGTTGGCAAATAAACTGATTGTAAAAATCAGTACTGTGCTCCAGGCTTCTTGGTGTGGTCTCGACAATTCGAAATCGTGCTCCCGCCGTCTCTAAATACGCCCATGCACGCGAAGCGAATGTTTTTGTATACACTCAAAGTACTTCCTGCATGTTTCTTTCGTGCAAGCCTTTGTCGATCTATTAGTTTGCTTGTCATTGTTTATCTCTATCTATCGGCACGACTCTCGGCTCAGTACTTCCGTAAACTTGTGCAGATGTGTGTTGCATCTGTCTGATTGCCGCATTTTTTCATGCGTACATTTGATAAACGTACAGCCTCCTTGTGTGTGTGTGTGCATGTATGCATGTATGCATGTATGTATGTACGCATGTATGCATGCATTTGTAGATGCAAGTAAGCATGCGTGTTTACATGCCTGCAGGAACTCTTGCGTGCATGCACACACGTGCGCAAATACATGCATGCACAGCTATACATAACCACTTACACGTACTTACATTCATACATACATGCATACACACACACATTCATGTACAGACGCATGCATATACATATACACATACACATACACATACACATACACGTACACGTACACGTACACATACACTTACACATACA